AGAGAGAGAGAGAGAGAGAGAGAGAGAGAGAGAGAGAGAGAGAGAGAGAGAGAGAGAGAGAGAGAGAGAGAGAGAGAGAGAGAGGGAGAGGCAGACAGACAGACAGACAAACAGACGGACGGACGGACGGACGGACGGAGAGAGAGTCAGAGAGAGAGATTTATATCCGATATTTGATAGCTCGACAAGATCAATCAAAAGAGTGGAGATTTGAATAGCGTTTGGGCAATGTATTGGAAGTTTCAAACATGTTCCCAAATCTCATCCGGATTATAGAGACACCTCCTGTGTGCACAGCAACCTATGTCGCACTGCTGTATGTATTTCCAACTCAACAACTTTTACGTTCGTGGTGCCGAAGATTGTCTGATCTCTCTATTTCTTATGAATGACTTCTGTTTGTTTCTCAATTTCTCAATTGACAGGCAAACCAGCCTCCTGAGGAATACAAGCCCTTCATTGTTGCCCCAGCGCGAAAGGTCGCAGTGCCTATTCCAGAAGGCAAACTGGTTTATGAATTCTTCTTCCTCAAGGAGAAGGCAAAATGGGTACCATGGAGTGAGTTGATGGACGCTAAACCGCTCTCTTTGGAGTTGGAATTCCACAAGATCATCATTCCGACTACGGATACAATCAGATACACTTTCTTGCTCCAAACCCTTGTGACACAGTTGGTCCCTCTCTTGTTGGTTGGGCCCACTGGTACAGGCAAGACGGTCTATATCAAGCAGTTTCTGGGGAAGGACCTCGATCCCACCAAGTAAGTGCATGGGAAGGGGTCGGAGGGGAGGGGAAGGAGGGGGGGAGGGGAGAGGACGGAGTGCTGGACGGAGAGGCAACTCGCGTTCACGTAAAGTTATAGACAATACATAGGATTGAAATGTGGACGGGAGAGAGGGAAAGAGTATGTTTGTTGCTCCGTGTTCCCTCTCCCTACCATTACATATTTCTTTTGGCCTCTGGTTTCCATGGTTTTGACCACCCTTGCACCATCGGCTATTTTTTTTTACTATTTCGGAATTTCCACTGGAGCACTCTGGTGCAAGGAAGATGAGCAATATCGAACTTCAGCAATCAAACAGCATCATACACATTAGACCAGATAGTCGTGACCTCGAACCAAAAACAGAATTGCATGACAAGTTTCACCAAATAAGAGCACACCAAAAGCTCATAATTGACAATGCTGGAATAGTCTCATCATCATCATCAACGAAGAACCAATGTTGATATCCTATCTGGCGCTCGGCGCCCAGACTACAGATGGCAGATCCTATCTAGCCTGCTTTACAATGCCGCTGATGACGTCAACAGCTCCCCGAAGTACGAGCAGATCTCAGCCAATGCCGCACGCTTCAAGCACCAGGTATGTCTCTCGTATCACTCACAACCTCGTTCCCCAACTCACAGATGCCACTTGCACCCAAGGACCACGATGCGCCCCATCCAGCATACAGCAGCGCAGCTCGGCTATGGCTGCCTGCTCCTTCCAGCTCGCTCGTGAGCGCGTGAGCCTGGCAGGCGATAGCACAGCAGTGCTTGCGCACAAAGCAGCCAGTGCCCGAATGGCCAATGCGTAGGCAGGCCCTTCCCTATATCGAAGTGGTCTGCGGCTGCGTGCTGTGCTGCGGTACTGGGCCCCGGTCCAGAAGCTTCCGGTAGGCCCAGGGAGGCTGAGCCTCAGTCCGAAGTCAACAGGCCCAGGGCCTGTGGTGGTTACCAGCACCTAACTGCCCTCAGCCTTTGTTCGGTCCACTTTGTGTATCCGGCCCAGGGCCTGCCTYTGTTACATGCAATGCAAGGCAGCCTGGGCCTGGGCGCTTCCAACCGACTGGCACTGCGCAACTGCCTGAATTTCCCCAGTTGCGTAGTAGTCCAAAATAGGCCTCTTAAGGTCTGTCGAGCCGCCTTCACTTAGGGCGGCCGACGCTTGTTGCAAATTAGGGCCCAGTAGGGCTTATCGACGCCTTGTGCCTCGCACTGGTGTATTGAACCTTTTTTTTTTTTTTTTTTTTTCATGGTGTATCGAACTGTATTCAGACTCTTCAGAGCCAGCATTTTTATGTGCTGGCCTGCAAGCAGTGGGTCAGATATGCAATTGATGAGAAGTCACGTCAAGAGGAAAAAAACGTCCGTGGTGTACTGGTGGTTGAAACCGCCAGTACATGGTCCCAGCCTTGCAGGATTTTTGTATTTTTTTTTTATTTTTTTTTACCATTTCTCGATTTTATGTGTGTCATCCTTCTGCAGGGGCGAGGACCCCCTAGCCCCGTATTATACCGTGGGGAGCAGTGGTGTGTGACACCCTTTTGGCATCTGAAAAATGGTTTCTGTATTTTTTTCAGATTTGAAAAACTGGCGTTCTGGCCTCGCCACACCAATGTCAAAACCGCCTTATTTTCGACATTTTGTCAGGCGTTTTTCGACATTGGTGTGTTCGATAAAAAAGAAGCCCTCTCCACACCGAGTGTCGAAGACGCTGGATAATCAAAGCTTCGTTGTAGAAGAGGAAAAGAAGAAGAAGAAGAAGAAGAAGAAGAAGAAGAAGAAGAAGAAGAAGAAGACAGGGATATTGAGGCCACGGAACGCTGAGAGGGGGCAGCTTTTCACCACCTCCCAAAAGAGGTGTCCACTTTGAGGGCGCTGCAGGCTAGTGGTTCGACACCCGCGTCGAAAACATTTCTCTGACAAATGTCGAAGTGTTTTCGACATTTTTTCTTCGACAGTCTGTGCGGCGAAGAAAAAATGTTGAAAACTCCAGTTTTGACATTGGTGTGGCGAGGCCAAAAGAAAGTAAAATTCAGCTTAGGCCACTCCCGTCAGCCAATGGGCTGTGAGCCATGGAATTCGTCGCCGCCGCTTTTTCTGTTGTGGGTGTGCGCTGCGCTTACAGCCAATGGGCTGTGGGTCCTCTGAAGGCCGTGGCTGTCAGGTCATTATGATATTTGGCAGTACACACCACTTGGGGGGCTCGGCCTTTTTGTGCACCTGAAGCACTGTGAAACGGTATTCACTGTTAGCAGTAGCGAATGCAGATCCCAGGGCTCGATCCCTAGTTCTTACCTTACCTGTGTACAGTACCTGTGTCGACCCCGAGAGTTGAACCCATCACCTGTGTATTCGCACCAGTTGGTAGGCTGTCGTAGGTCCGTAGGTTGTAGGGGTTCGCTCTGTAGACCTGTCGGATAGAGGTCTTAGTGAGTTCTAGAAGTCGTAGCTGTGGCTCCTCTGAAAGGTCAAGTCGTAGCTTCTACAGTCCTGAAAGGTCAAGGTCGTAGCTGCTACAGTGTCGAAGGGCCAAGTCCACAGGCTTCCGGAAGGTCCGGAAGTAGCCCTTCCAACGTTGCTCACAGTAGACTAGAGGCAAGTGGGCAAGTGGTGAAGTCCACCCTTGCTGAGTCAGCGGTACCCAGTCCCAGTCTCACTGAGTCCGGTCAGCAAGTACCATGAGGGACTGTGTGCACCATGGGCCCGGTGGAAAGAGGCAGACCAGCAGCGAACAGAAGTATAAATTAAGAGGCAGCGCCCAGCCATTCATTCATTCCTGCATAAGCCATGTGGAAGCGCTGCTTGAGCGACTTGTGCGAGGTGGTCTGCAGAGTGCCCGAAGACGAAGTGGGCTGAAGTGGATAGTTAGGCATAGCTAGGAGGGACAGCGGCCATAGCCGCCATAGTGATTGACGAGTGTGTTAGTAGTAATGTGTGTGTGTGCGTGTGGGATATCCAGGGTGATCCGGAGTTGAGTGAGTGCGAACAGTGGTGTCGAACAGAGAGACGAGAGTTGGGGTGTACAGGCGCTGATGTGCCATAGCCTGTTGAAGCGAGCTTGTATCTGAACTGTGTTTTCGACTTCCATATCTTTGAGCTTTGAGTGGGCGCTGTGCGACAGTGTGACTCACCATCTGTTTGCATAAGTGCGGAGTGAAAAAGAAAGCGAGTCTGAATGCAACTGTAGCAAGGTCACAATATTGCTCCCCCCCCTTCCCCCCCCCAAAAAAAAAAAAAAAGTCTGGAAAACACGACGCTGCTACAGTGATTTTGAAATAAAAGAAGAAAAAAGGAACAAATCAAATGGTGAAAGTGCATAGGGTACATATACATAGTACATACACAGCCAAAACTTTTCCAATTTTTCTGAATCTGTTCAAAAGTCAGAATGCCGCCCGATTTCCCCTCCCCTCCATCGGTGGCGTGTAGTAATCCAACTCTGTCACACGTGATTGATTGAAAACCATACGTACACAGTACACAGTATAATACGACGCTAGTGGGTCCTGCCCCCAGAGGCCATGTTGATCTTCTGTGTATCGTTCCAATTTTAAGGGATGTCACGAAGGACCCTTAAATTTATTTTTATTTTTTATTTTTTAAACTAAACCCACGGTATCCGATAGGAGTGATGGTAAGAGCATGCTCTCCTACCCAACACACTGGGGGCTCCAGTCTATTGGTGGGGAGCAACACCTGCTGGAAAGCGGGTCCAGCGTTCCTGAGATTGCAATACAATGATGATAGAACAGTTCATGCTGGGAACCGAGCCCAGCGTCCCTTGTACTTCTTCACCCTCAATCGAGTGGCGCCAGCTTTCATCAATAAGCCCTGGTACTAAGAAGGGAAAAGTCTCTGATGATGGTGCTACCTCAACTGCAATCATATCTTGTACTGTTTCCACTGTCTCTTTACCCATTGACCTCATAACATGCAGCCTAGATCCACAGATCCATCTTTTGTCTGTCAAAGCTCCTTAATTTAGGCACCATATCTTGCCAGTGAACTTAGTTGCCTACTTGAGATGCCAAGTCAGAGGGATACAACCCACTGAGAGAAAAAAACTCAAGACATGTTCCTCTCCAGACATCTCTCCCTCATTCACAACCATACCAACTTATGGGGACCAGAGATAATGAGGAGGGGGGAAAAGGGTCCGGGAATTCTGATAAAGGGCGAAGGGGAATTGATGGATCCACCTTCATCCAATCCAGGAAAGTCAGGTGGTAGTCCCTTTGTACTTCCTCCTTCTGTCCTCCCTTAATCTCTTCCCTGACCCCACTTTCTCTAATCCTTCCAATCTTACCTCCTTGAGCCCCCCCTAGCCAAGCGCCACTAAATAGTTGGATTTGTTGCTGTATTTCTTTTTCCTTCGATAGGAATTGGATTTTTTCTTTTACTTTATTCCATTGAACTGTGATAACTGTCTGTATTTGCAGCTTGATTGCTTCAGTAAGTTCGGGGCCGTCCAACCTGGCACCTTCCATTTCAAAAGTACAACGACGATTCCAGAGGGCCCAGAGGATGGCTCTTCTGCTAGTTTTAAATAAATTGTGAGAAAAATCGTCCAGCTGGTCCGGTGTCCAGGTCTCACATAACAAAGCCCTCCAATCCCATGGCCACTTCAGAGAGTTATCAAGGGCATTCCAAATCCTGTCCCACCAGCGCCATAACCAGACTGCACCCGGACATTGAAGAAAGATGTGTTCAATGGTTTCTGGGATGTTCCTAGATGGGAACACAGAGGAGCATAATTTGCTCCAAGGTAAAGCAAGGCCTTTTTCCTCCAGCAAGGTTCTATCTATAAGCCAAAGGCACCGATGGTCAATTTGCCATTGTAATTTTTGATGGCCTAGTCTTAATAGTCTTGAACCACTTGGCTGGACCCGGTTTCCAGCTCTGTGGCATCGCTAGCAACCAAGACAGTGGAGGGAGTCAACAGAGACAGTGGAAATCTGGCGCCAAAATTAGGGTGAAGAGGCTGCCCCCCTG